TAAACAGTCAAATTACTCATGGCAAATAAAGATGAAAGCTATGCCATCCCTAGGTATATCCACTCCGATACCGCAGGCATCGAGATTGTGGACCCTGGTAAAATTCCTTAAGGAATATGAAATGTCCTAGCGTTGGGCGCCAATTCTGTTACGTGGGCATATTAGTGCCCGAGTCCTGACAAGGACTTGGGCCGAGGGAGAGGCGTCCGATGTTCAGGCACCATTTGCCGGCATAAGCTACGTCGTATTTGGGTCGTGGGATCTTGGTAAGCCTCTCTCCTCTCCAACATAACGAGAATAAATATTAAAAGTGCCTGGAAAATAATATTAGTCACAAAGTTCGTCAGTCATCAGTCCACACTGCCCAACAAGCTTAGCTGTCGCTTGATCGCAATACGATCGGGCTGTGTTTTGGCCACATTCCCTCCCCTTCACGCATTCGTGTGCCAATGGATCGTCGCGGGCCGCGCAATACGATCCCCTATTGATAAGGTTGTCCGTCGAAAGTTATGTCATTGTTCTTGACCTACTTCACTCCTCGCGTCAGCACACCTCCTTTGTTAGAGTTCTAGCACGACATGGTTTTCAATTCTTTTTCACATTATAAATTTATTAAATATTATTTACGTCGGCGTGTGCCGGTGTTGAATAACATAATATTGGTTAATTCATATAGGGATTAAATTAATTGACAATTATTGTATTAGCGGAAAGTATCGAATTTATCACCTATGAAGGTGCACACATCAGCAAAATACTGACTATTCACGACTACAAACGTCGCTCAGAGGGCTCTTGCAATTATCAAATAACTACAAGGCTGCTACTCGCCGCTGCAAAAGTTTATAGTAGTCTATAAAACTGTAGGATACTGCACGAATATTTATATATGTATGTTTATAAGAAAGGAACCGTGTCCCGACAAACTTACCCCCTCTTTAAATCCTGGGCGATGAGATCTCGACGCTCCGGATCCTGGGCTTTGGGAAAATATTATATTGGATATATATATATAAATATACGTGCACCAAAATACGGCTGTTCTAAAGTATATCAATTCACTTAAACACAAAATATATATATATTATGCTAGAGGCATTCGACTTCTTCAACGGCTGGTGGAGAGATTCGTCCTCTCTAATTGTTTATCATGATTCGCACTTTGCCTATTGATTCGGTTGGTTTAAATATATTTCAATGCATGTTTGAATGCTTGATTTTCACTTGTTATCCAATTGTATTATTTGAGGATATTGGTCCTTGGTTATGCATGAGTTCACTTTAGCTTCGGTTGGCTCGATTAACACATTTATATTGCATCACTACTTTCTCCGACGTATGCTATTAGTCGCTACGCTCTGAACGGATGGTTCCTACAGCTGAGCAAATTTCAGGAGCATGGAGATCACGGATACTGCGTCCACAAACATCGCAGTATGTCGGATGTCGTCCTTTTTGTTGATCTTCTCCACGTTCTTTGATGGCAATAGCGGCGCTGGTTCGACACAAGATTATTTCGAGCTGCAATTGTGTTCTCCTCAAGGATTGTTGGATATGGTGGCTGGTCCTGGTGGCAGAAGACTGGACGACTGCCCCAGGGAAAGTCGCCTTCCGTCGAAGCTGCCGGCTTCCGTCAGCAAGACACCCAATTGGATTCTCTTCTTTCTCTATTTGTCTAAGGTCTTTTATACCAGACTAGAGCTTTTACTTGGCTGCGAGTATGGATCGGATAAGCTAGGTGTTCCCACCTAGAATTACTGTTTCTTGATATCTGCTATCTTGTGAGTCAACGGCCGGCTGTTGCCCTTTGCCAGCTACCGGAGTATGGTTACCAATAGGTCGATAGTGGCCGTTGTTCTGGCCACGCGACACCCGAGAATTGCCGAATTGCTTTTTCTTCTGCCTTTACCAGTATGAGTCTGGTTAGTCACATGCACCCCTCCCCCTGGCTAAAGATTCGTCGTTGTTTCTCTATGTGAATCTTTCTATGTGGAGGGCGTACGTAACACTATCTTTACTAGCTTATCTGAAAAAGTCGTGAGCAATCTCCGCTCCACATGTTACCAACTACTCGACCCCTCAAGATGGCGTTGGCTTGCCTCACTTCTCTCTCTGTCAAAACCTCTTCCAAGATCAGACCTTTAGCACGCGTTTGTGGACCAGCTGGCCTACAAGGCACTAGGCACACGGGACAGTTTTCGCTCTTCTTGAAATGACTCTCAATACATTTCTTGTGATACTCGTGTTGACATGAAGTAATATACGAGTCCGCTGCACCGCTCCCCCTGGAGAATGTATCATTTAAAAAAAGAGCAACTGACAATCGAGTAAAGACAAAACTATAAATTGATGCTAAACGCGTATTTTAACTAAAGCTAAAAAGATAACTGATCAATAATCAAAAGATACTGATTAAACTCTGCACTATATGTCCAGTGTGTCGAAAGGTATTAATATTTTATGTTTACCGAAGTTCTCTTCGTTGAGATTTAGATTTGAGGGGTTAAAGCAAGATAGTAAAAGATGATTGAAGATAGTTTGAAGATAATCTATTGAATTATTCCGAACAGAACGCTGTCTACAATAAACACTGTCTGCATTCCGGCTTTCTTCAAATCAAGAAAACTTCATACAAAAGCAAAAAAATAACAACTTCCTTCAACTTTGAGTGGTTATGACACCCTCGCAAGACAGGTCGTTTATTTTTCAAATCTCTCAGTTTTCGGAAAAATTTACTAAAAGTTGTGTTAGACTAACCGTGTGTTACTTGCTCGTGGCCAGTAGATCGACAAAAGTTCCTTACTGTTTTCCGCAAGCAATTTAAGGTCCAAAAAAAAATTCTATCAAAGTAGGTAAAAGACAGTCGATCTTTTACCGCCTGTTTTTAGCTCTCGTCAATAAGATCAACTAAAATTGTACTCCTCTAGCGCTCCAAAACATAAACAGATTACACGGTGAAAATCAACTGATTCGACATAACGGTATTAAGAAAATAAGGAAAATAAAGGAAATTCTGGAATCTATTTACGATGAGTCTTACCGAGTGCAAAAAGTTACACCCATTAAGGTCTACACTTTGGGCGCCACTAAATTTAATAATAATAATTAATTATAACTGTAACGTGCAACCTTATGTAGCAGAGTATTGAACAGAGATCTGTCATCGCAGGGCACGCTATAGTATCCGGCTCTAGCTTGTCGGCTTTCGGGGTGGAGGTCTTGCTAATCGAGATCTGGTACTTGTCTATTATTATTAATCAAGAAATTGAGCGTGTTTGCGACGACATACGAAATTAGATCGTAGACGATGGGGAGAAACCGGGAGAATGTAAGTTAATTCCAGTAGAGAGATAGATTCAACTAAGAAAAGGAAAAAGGAAAATTCGGTAAACGAGACGCCGATGTTGTTATGCCTGTGGCCCGCCCTACCTAAGATTACTGGATCCAAATGTTGATTCGCGTGATCCCTTTTGATACCTTTACGACCGCATCATCACCTGCAGAGACTAAGCGAAATAATTACTCCATGGTTTCGTTTAAATCCATTTTAGTAATACAAATTAAATTTCATGCCTATGTTGCCAGTGCGGGTTACTGCCCTTTTGACATTGGGCAAAGACATAAGGGAATACAATTGCAAATGTCAATAGCCGAAAGGAATAAGAAGAGGCTATGTATACTATCGATGTCTAATGACCCAAAAAAAGTCAATAGTTTGTTCTCCATAAACAGATATGATATAATCACCAGGTACGGATAGTATGAGGTAATCTTAAATTTTAACAAGGAAGAACGCTATAGTCGAGTACCTCGACTATCAGGCGTTACTCAGCTAAATAGGGATATGCAAGTAGCAAAGCGAGATTAAAATGCGCCACCTACCGGCGGTATACAGATTTAATCGTTATGGGCGTTAGAGTGGGCGTGGCAAATTTGGACCAATCGATAGGTATTGTCGAGACCAACACATTTTCAGTTAAAATTTTTTATCTAGCATAAAAATTGTGGGCGTCACAGGTTTTCGCGGTTTGTGGGTGTTACAGTGGGCGTGGCATATTCGCGTAACAAACTTGCGCTGCGTATAAGGCTACGGAATCTAAATCTGAAGTCCCAATTCACTAACTTTGATAGTTTCCGAGATATCCACGTTCATATTTACGATTTTTTGAAGTTTGTGGGCGGTTTATGGGCGTTAGGGTGGGCGTGGCAAACTTTTTTTTGGGTCAATCGATAGGTATTGATAAGAACATTACATTTCAGTTAAAATTTGTATTCTAGCATCAAAACTGTATGAGCCACAGTTTTGGGCGGTTTGTGGGCGTTAGAGTGGGCGTGGCACTCTACTGAAACAAACTTGCGCTGCGTAAGAAGCTTAGGAATCTGCACGCCAAATCTCAATAGCCTAGCTCCCATAGTTTCCGAGATCTCAGCGTTCATCCGGACAGACAGACGGACATGGCTAGATCGACTCGGCTAGTGATCCTGATCAAGAATATATATACTTTATGGGGTCGGAAACGCTTCCTTCTGCCTGTTACATACTTTCCGACGAATTTAGTATACCCTTTTACTCTACGAGTAACGGGTATAATAAGGGGTCTTAATATATATAAAACATAGAGAAATTTCATTGTTGATTCCATAGATAAGTTTTACTTAATGTTTTAAAAAGCTCTCACTCTACAAAGGAAATATCTTCCATTATTTGGTTCTAAATGTTGTTCTTATTTTCTCTCAGTGTATTCACAGCTTAATTTTATTTTTCTTACTAGTATTATTATTTATTTATTTATATTTTTTTTACCGTACTTCTACAAATGAATCGCGTTCGGCTTTAGGACGACAAATGTTTTACTAATGTTCATATAAATCTCTAATTTAATCAGCTTTTAGCTGGTGTGCATGTTCTCTTTTACTTTTGTTTGACCATTTTAATAAACATTGAATTCGAATGCCGAGTATAAATTAACGAAAACATATAAAACTTTGTAGTAACTCACTTTGTGTACTCTCCACGGCGAAAGATCGATCTCCCGAGCGGTGACTGTAAAAGAATAGCGACTCTGGTTCGCAAAGGGTTAAATAAATACAGAGCATTCATATGATTTAGTCAACCAACTATTTTCTTAATTAATAATTCCTAAATCTGAACCCGTTACATGATTATATTTTTATTCTTTCATTCGGTTCTACCTACGCCTATATTTTCGGTTCCAAAAATAATTTTATCTTACTTATTATTTAATTTAATTAAATTTTCAACTTTTCTCTCGGTGCGTCATTCTGTGCATATTTAGTGACTCTGACCGATCTAGCACTTATTCGGGGTGAGTTAAATGTAAAGGAAATTCTAACATTGTTCGAATTTATATGCCTTTACAGTAATTATGAAAAAACGAATCAATGAATAAATCGTTGAAGCGCGGCTGTTTACTATTTACTAGTGTATCGACGATGGACAAAAGTCAGCTGCGGATTTACTTTCTGGCTCTCCCTAACCCCGTTGGAAAATTTACAATGCGCACGTGATTGAGCCCTAAAATTCGCGTATTGGCCAATTTAAACACTGGCCGACTTGTCTGGAATCCTGAGGGACTACATATTCGTTCTGTACAAACTATCGAGCTAATGCTGGTCTCGGTTGTTGCCTATTTAATTGCTGCCGCTCAGTTAACTACCGAGGGAGAGCCGCTGAAGCGGTTACAAAAGAAGCGGCTTTTCCGTCCGCCAAGATTAGATGAACGCTGTGGAAACTCTAGGCCTTAGATCGCTATGGGAAACTGTTGGTGCTTGGTTGACTATTGAGGGTGCTCCAGTGGACGCGGTAGGCGACCGCGTGACTGCTAGCACGGCTGCCGGAGGGTGCTCCTGTGGACACGGTGGGCGACCGCGTGGCTCCAAACACGGCTACCAGGGGGTGCTCCCGTAGACACTGTGGGGATCCGTCGATCTCCCGGCGTCTTTTTGGGCGCGTCCCTCGATGCCCGTGCTACCCAGCACTTGCGGCAGCTGCGGATGAACAATGCGGCTCGCTAATCCACTAGGATTAAAGAAAATCTGCGAGACGAACGCCATCAGAAACCCGCTTAAGCTCGGTTATCATTTATCAGCTTACCTCGGCAACCGCAAATATAAATAAATATTAAACTCGATTTTCAGAACACTTGTTTGTATGTTTTTTGGACTTAGGGTGCCGCACTCGTGATCGCTTTGAAAGCTTTAAAAGAAAAGAACGTGTCCGGAATTCGGATGTGGGTCTGTTGGCCGCGGTGCAAAAGCCGAGCTTTGTATTGCGACTCTGTTGCAGCTGATTTATGCCAGCTGATCTAATACAGCTGCAGCTGAGGTCCACTAATTTGGCAACGCAGAGCTAAGTGAATATGTACCTATGTATTTATAGAGCCTACTTTAAGGTTGACTATATGTATATGTGCTCGCACAAACGCTTCAGGCGCTGCTACAAGATTTATAGGACTGTCAGTAACATAAATGATTCGATATTGCTTCAGTCTGACCTAGATAGTATCGGTAGTTGGTAATTCAAGAATAGTTTGCGTTTTAGGCCTTAACAAATGCCACATCGTTCGTTATGCGAATCACATCAATAACCACCCTCTCTCTGTTTTGAATGAAATAGTCGATCTGAGAGTATTATTTGATGACAAATTTCTGTTTAATGAGCACCTGAATTTTATATTACCAAAGGCTTATGCAATGTTCGGCTTTGTTAAGCGAAACACTTTATTATTCAAAGATCCGTATTCCAGATTGTCTGTATACTCTGCCTTTGTCCGTTCTAGGGTTGAATATGCTTCCTTTACTTGGAATCCCTCGGGAAGTGTCCAGATCAATAGGATTGAGAGGTTGCAGAAAAAGTTTTTGAAGTTTGCATTGCAATCCTTGGATTTTACTGAACCGGCTCCGCCCTATGATAGTCAGTGTTCCCTGCTTCACACTTGTTCCTTGAAGGACCGCCGTGCAACTGCTGGCCTTCTCTTTCTGAACGATCTGCTAATAGGAAATATTGATTGTCCTTGCCTGTTGGGATGCATCAATTTTAATGTTCCTGCCAGAAATCTCCGTACCATGGTTCCATTCCTGGACCGTGCTGTCAGGAATAATTATGCTCGCAATGAGCCACTACTTAGGGCTCTTAAATTGTTTAATTCTTTGCCTTCTAGCATTAGATTCAGCTGGGGGCCAATAAAGATACGCTAAGGCAAACCCTTAGGGAATATTTTTTTATTAATTTTCAATAACAGATTTAAGGTAAGGTATCCATTGGCGATAAGTAAATAAATAAATAAATAAACTAGCAGTTTTTTCAAAAATCGTAAAACATAGTTTTCTATCTCCAATTTCCCCACCAATAAAGTCCCAAAACAGGTTCATAATACCCACAAACAAAGGGGACAAATGTTTTCATTTTGGAAAGTTCCCCGGTTCTTGTTTTTGGAGTAACTTTTAAACGAAACCTTGAATCTTAATAAATGAGGTATACACGATGCTTACATTCATTAGAATAAAACTGGGCTAACAACGGCCCCAACAGCTCCAGTTTTCTGAATTTTCACTTGTACTCTTATACCGCTCTTTGTCCCAAACAAATAGAAATTATGTAGATCTATGTAGGTTTAAGTATTAGTGTATATATAGTAGTCGCACTCTCCTGGTGCGCTTCGTCACTATGTGGATCAAGCAATTGACCAACGACCATTCTAACGCCCTAAAACAGCCCACAAACATAAAAAAAATAGATTAAGCAAATAGATTCTAGAGATTTTTGCGCATCGCCATGCGCCCACTTAAGGCCATCAAGCCGACCAATACTGTGGCGCTAAAATTCAAATTTTTTAAAATTGCGCTTGTCCGAACCATTGTAAGTAATGATTTTACGCCCGTATCTAGCAAGAACATCGTCGATGACGTCACAACTAGTATATAAAAGCGAAAATGGTAAAATGTAAAAAGTATAACTGAACGTTCTTCCAATAACAAAAGAAATAACATTAATACCAGACTAGACTACTCACATCAATTCAAAAGCCCACAAAAGAAGAATCCCCATACAAAATTTGGTATATGAAACTTTCCGCCAGTAATTTTTGATTGTTATACCCGTTACTCGTAGAGTAAAAGGGTATACTAGATTCGTCGGAAAGTATGTAACAGGCAGAAGGAAGCGTTTCCGACCCCATAAAGTATATATATTCTTGATCAGGATCACTAGCCGAGTCGATCTAGCCATGTCCGTCTGTCCGTCTGTCCGGATGAACGCTGAGATCTCGGAAACTATGGGAGCTAGGCTATTGAGATTTGGCGTGCAGATTCCTGAGCTTCCTACGCAGCGCAAGTTTGTTTCAGTAGACTGCCACGCCCACTCTAACGCCCACAAACCGCCCAAAACTGTGGCCCCTACAGTTTTCATGCTAGATAGAAAATTTTAACTGAAATGTAATGTTCTCAACAATACCTATCGATTGACACAAAAAAAAGTTTGCCACGCCCACTTTAACGCCCACAAACCGCAAAACCCTGTGACGCCCACAATTTTCATGCTAGATAAAAAATTGTAACTGAAATGTATTGGTCTCGTCAATACCTATCGATTGATCCAAAAAAAATTTGCCACGCCCACTCTAACGCCCATAACGCTTAAATCTGTATACCGCCGGTAGGTGGAGCATTTTAATCTCGCTTTGCTGCTTGCATATCTCCATTTAGCTGAGTAACGGGTATCTGATAGTCGAGGTACTCGACTATAGCGTTCTCCCTTGTTTTGATTTGATTTGTTTGCCATATCCATCAAAACACGACCTTAATTTAGAGCAAAACTTACCAGCCTGGCGGGAACGGCGAATGTTTTTTGGCATACGTTGCACTGATACGGATCAGCTCCAGCAGCGACGTTGGCCAGGGGCTCAATGGTCGGACTCTTGGGGATGCCCACCGGCAGACCCGCTTCATTTAGCTCGATGACAGCCGATGTTACTGTCGCAACGACCGCCGTGCCCCCTCCGCCGTTCAGAGACAGATCGACATTCTTAGAGTGCGACTTGGTGTGCGAGGTGTGGGCCGACTTGCTGCCAAAGGTCATGCCGCACAGGTCGCACCTAAACTGCGGTTTGTTCGTGACCGGCTTGCGTACCTGCGGCACCATCGGAGATGCTGAAAACACGGCGGTCGGCTCTGTCTTAATCCGCTGAGAGGTTGGGGCTGCTGTTGGAGTCTTGGTAGTAATGCATTCATGTTGCTGCTGCTTTTGCTGCTGTTGGATGCCCAGTTGATAGCTGAAGAACTGGTGCTGCTCTTGGTGATGATGTTCCTGCAGCTGTAGCTGCAGTTGCCGCTGTTGTGGCGTCTGCAGCAGTTCAAATTGCTCTTGCTGGCCACCGGTTGATGACACTCCGACTCCCAAACTCGAAGTCGTCGACGTCAGCGGGGGCGGCACTTGAAGACAGAACTGCGTCTGATTAGATTGCTCCGTTTTTATGAGCAGCTGGTTAGCGGAATAGTAGACCATGTTAGTTGAAGCTGCAGATAGTAAGATGATTAAATTTCATTTTTTGATTGGTAACAGTGAACAATAAATAAAAGAATGTTTAAGGGGGGCACTCTATGAAATGGGTTCAAAAATTCGATTTTTATACCCGTTACTCGTAGAGTAAAAGGGTATACTAGATTCGTCGGAAAGTATGTAACAGGCAGAAGGAAGCGTTTCCGACCCCATAAAGTATATATATTCTTGATCAGGATCACCAGCCGAGTCGATCTAGCCATGTCCGTCTGTCCGTCTGTCTGTCCGTCCGGATGAACGCTGAGATCTCGGAAACTATAAGAGCTAGGCTTTTAAGATTTGGCGTGCAGATTCCTAAGCTTTTTACGCAGCGCAAGTTTTTTTCAGCAAAGTGCCACGCCCACTCTTACGCCCACAAACCGGCCAAAACTGTGGCTCCTACAGTTTTAATGCTAAATAAAAATTTTAACTGAAATGTATTGTTATCATCAATACCTATCGATTGACCTAACGCCCACAAACCGCCCAAGCCTGTGACGCCCACAATTTTCATGCTAGATAAAAATTTTAACTGAAATGTATTGGTCTCGTCAATACCTATCGATTGATCTAAAAAAAATGTGCCACGCCCACTCTAACGCCCATAACGCTTAAATCTGTCTACCGCCGGTAGGTGGCGCACTTTAAACCCTTTGCTGCTTGCATATCACCATTTCCCTTTGGTCCCTTTAGCTGAGTAACGGGTATCTGATAGTCGAGGTACTCGACTATAGCGTTCTTCCTTGTTTTAATTTGTTCTTATTAGCGTTTTAAACAGAGAAACTTCTTAAAATGTAACATTTATTTACAAATTTTTTAAAAGTTAAATTACAAAAACATTTTTTTTACATTTATAGTACACGGAAAATAAAATTCCAAAAAGTTCAAAAATGTTAAAACTAGTTTTGCGAAATACTTTCGGTTTGTAAAAGAACGGCCTATATACTCATAAACATGTTTTTCTAAATTTGCCCTAAATCCGACTTTTTGTCCGAATTTTTAGAAAATGGTTATATTGTATGCTTGTGCCTAACCGAAGTAGACACTTCTGGGTCACACCGCGGGGCAAGGGGGTAATGAGCACTTGTCGCTGGCACGGGGACGCTTTGATGGCAGGACGATCGCGTCGCGGCAATGGTAACGATGGTTACTGCGATGTCGGACCACAGGCGATGCTGGAGCTGCGCTGAGGGTGAGCTAACGTGGTTAGCTGCTAGTTGAGATAGTGTATTACGAGCCCTATTCCCAGATTTAGGAAGTAGAACCGCGGAGTTATGAGGTGTGTTGATAACTGATTTATTCTCCATTTGATACCTGCTTATATACTACTTGGAACACGGAAGATTAGTGTAATGTTTAGTATAATAAGCTATATTCTAAAGTAGGTCAGGGAATTATGATTATGGTAGCAGTTTGCGTAGTTGGCTCGGCTGACACTGCAAAATGTGCTGACTGCATTGGCGGGTCAGTGTGTCGTTGAGTTAGTGAGACATATAATATGCTGATCAGCAATTCTCATCTGCAGTGAGTGCTACTGAGCGCCTGGTTCTGTTCCCAACTTGGCAACTGCTTGATTTGTTGGGTGTGGTCATCTTTGGGTACGAACATTCTAGTTCTTGATTGGCGACATATATCTTCAGTCTCTTTTGTTTTATGATCGATCAATGCTACGTTCGTTAAATGAATCCCTTCTTCATCGAGTGAAATCCCATTTTGCCGTTGGCTTTCTATTATATCAAATTGATTATTATTCATCGGATTATTATCTTTCGTTGGCTCATAAGCAGCGTTCGGTTCTGCAAAATCACCTCTGTCTTCTACCAGAATAAGTAGACATCAGTCATCAGTAGTCATCTAGCTTTCATTGCGTTTAGACGTGCTTAAAATTTTCGCTATATTACTTCCCCGCTGTCCCGAGTGCAAAACCGATGTTACATTGGCCTAGCTTCGCGCTTCGGATGCTGTTCGCTGCTCTTCTTTGTGCCGTCGCGCCTATCATACTTTTTGCGTAGCCCTACCGGGCGATGTGCTCAAACTCTTATTAAATCCAAATATACTGTGGCAATGTGATAGCTGTGTGGTTGCGAATGATTCGCATTCTAAAATCGATGAATTCGATGATAAATTGAAAGCCCTGAAGCGCTTATACCAGGGCCTTCATAATAAATTCTTGGAGGCGTTCCCCCTAAAGATGTTGCATTGAATCAGAATGTAAATTCCAAGCCTCGTCTACCGAGACCTACCAACGTAGCTGCAGCTCCCCAGTCATATGCGGCTGCTGTTGCTACGGCTTCCGCGGTCGTTGACCCTTCTAATCATGCTCTGGATATTGAGAGAGGAAATTTCACACAAATTCGAAATAAGAGGAGAAGGAACAACAACAAGCCCAAGTCGGAAAGTTTGCAACTGATACAGAGCCGAATACTGTTTTAAAATATGTGTCCACCAAGCTTAAAGTTTGTAAATTTCAAGCTTGGTATCCCCGATCAGCTTTACGATACAGTCTTCAAAAACGATTTCTGGCCGAACTCAGTTAAGGTCAAAAGATTTATTCATAGAGAACGGGCCATTGTGGTAGGGGATGGAATCTTATCTAATTTGCCGGAGCCTGGTTAAACTTCATCACCAACTCAGCCATCAAAAAACCCCTAGTGTTCGACGCCACTGGCGTCGATACTTTTGCGGGACATCGGCTGCAAGCCCTTCCTCATTTGTCGGAGTCGCTTTCGCAACAACATCGGCAGCTGCGTACCTTTCTCACTGCCCTCTCTTCATGTTCTGACTTTCTCCTAACGCACCATCGACAACATCAGCCGGAGCTTTTGTTGTCCACTTTGTGCGACATTCGCCGTCCGCTTGGCTCGGATTTCGGCGCGCTCCTCGGAGTTGCGCTCACATAATTTTCCGTTGCTCTCCTGATGCTTCATCAACAACATCAGCCGGAGCTTTTGTTGTTTGCTTTGCGCGACATTCGCTGTCCACCTAGTTCTAATATCGGCGCGCTCCTCGGAGTTGCGCTCTCATCATCTTGCGCCTCTCTCCCGTTGCACCATCAACAACATCAGCTGGAGCTTTTGTTGTCCGCTGTGCGCGACTTTCGTCGTCCGCCTGGCTATAATATCGGAGCGCTCCTCGGAGTTGCGCTCTCATCATCTTGCGCCTCTCTCCCGAAGTACCTAGTTAGTCGGCTGGATTCTCACTCTTCATCGCCTAATAGTTATGCGCTCTCCGTCTCAACCTTTCTGACGTTCGACTTTCTACAACAACTTTTATCGACACATTTGGCTGGATGGCGAGCCTCTCAGAGTGCTCTCTCTGAAGGTGCTCTCTGGAGATGCTTTCGCCATCAACAACAACAACAATGGACTGCGGCTGCTGTAGTACGTTCTCGCTCATTATTACCAGTAGTGGATTCACCTGCGTGCAGTTATATTTTGAATGCTAATGTTGACTGCCCACCTAATATTTGGAGCGCCGATCACCAGCCTATTCGTATCCGTACCACTACTTTACTGAAGAATCTTACAAATAATTTTATTAATTATGATAAAATCCCAGCGATGAGCTTCTTAGTATGGGATTAGTCCAGATTAACCAAGTATTTAATAACTTATATAAGCTTCTAGATCTAATTTTTGTACACCCTGATTTATGCCTTACTTTATGTTGCAGTGATAATCCTCTAGTTGCGTGTGATGCTCATCACAAGCCCCTATTAATCTTAATTACTTGTTATATTTTCTCACCAAATAGTTCTCGCTTGCCTCTTACCTATATTAATTCTAGCAGTTTAGATTCTATCTGTAGTGATATTTCTAATATCAGAAGTTTTTATATCTTTTCTCACTACTATTATAGGCAGATACGCTAAAACTAGAGTTCAAAGTTCTTATAGACTACCATGGTACAAAAAAAGACTACAAAAATACAAAAATCTCCGAAATAAATTCTATAAGCGCTACATAGAAAGCGGTGATGCTGCTGACTTTGATCGGTACAAACAACATAAGCGTGAGTTTGAGTTCCTCAATAAATTCCTATACAGCCAATATATTGCTGATATAGAGTGTAAACTAACTACCAATCCTAAAGCATTCTGGCACTTTGTCAATTCTAAACGAACAACCTCCTACTTTCCTTCCCATATGTCATATGAAAGTCTTTCAGCTTCTACAGATACGGGGGTCGCTAATCTGTTTGCTAAGTACTTTGCATCTAACTTTGAACCGAGCTCGCTGTGGAATGACGATGATTCACTCAGTGCCATTGCCACGATGCTAAATATTGGGTGCTTAGATGTTACTGATTTGGACTGTAATATGGCGGCTGAGAGTTTTAACGACTCAGGAAAATTAGACTGCGATGGCCTTTCTCCATTTATTTTGAAAAACTGTATAAATGTTCTTTGTGAGCCCCTAAAAATGATATTCAACAAGTCTCTTTCCACTGGCGTATTTGCGCATAGATGGAAACTTGCCACAGTTTCTCCTATATTCAAGTCTGGTTACAAAAACATTGTTTCAAATTATAGGCCAATTGCAAAGCTAAGTAATGTCTCAAAAATGTTTGAACGAATTGTAGCTAAGCAGCTAACTTTTCTTGCTGGTCGGATCATCAGTCCTAACCAACATGGTTTTTTGCATCCACTCGTTCATCAGTCATCTTCAAGCTGATGTAGTCTACACCGACTTCGCCAAAGCATTTGACAAAGTCTCCCATAATGCTCTATTGGCAAAATTGCAGAAATTTGGACTTCATTCATCAATTAAATTGGTTTAAATCTTATTTAGATGGGCGGATTTATTGAGTAGAGTGCAATGGTGTTTTCTCAAGCCCGTATGTGGCTACTTCTGGCCTTCCTCAGGGAAGTGCATTGGGTCCGTTTCTATTCATCATCTTCATTAATGATTTAAGCTATTGCATAACAAATTCTGAATTCCTGTTGTTTGCGGACGATCTTAAAATATTTAGGTCTGTG